AAAACACAGGAAGTTACTTTGATAGTTACTACATGCTTTTAAAATGCTGTGTTGTGTTTGTTTTTATGGGGTGTTGTGTTGGTAAAACTGGGGAGTTTTTGGAAATTTCATTGAATGGCAATGACGTAAATAAGGTCCAATTGAGCTCAAGCACTGCACCATTATCAGTTTATAATGAAATTTCTAATAATTATAAAACAGGTCCATTTGTTTTGTGGTAAATCCATTCAGACCCCTGTTATTTTTTAGTTTTAAAATTTCACATATCATCCCTTTTTGTTTAATTTGGTCCCTTTTCGATTGAAGGCATTACAGATATGAAAATAAAAGAAAGTATATTTCAACATTTTCTACGGTAACGAATTTAGAGGAATTTTGAATGAAAAAAGTAATCGAGTAATTCCCCTCTCGTTTGTCTCAAGTATGGAAAGAAGAAAAGTAAAATGGGTCAAAATAGCCATTCTTTTTACGTAAATCGGTAGTCATTCCTCTCCATTATTTATTCAAATATCACTACTTTCGCAAGTCCCACATCATCCACTTACAGACTTAGGGGCCGTTTATCCAAATGCTTACCGATAAACGCTTACCAATAGGAGTTAACACTATAATTTATTTTGATGGGTAAGATTTTAGTACATCAAAACATATCGAATGCAACAATTTACTGGGTAAGCGCTTACTTTGGTAAGAGTCGTCATCCTCATTTACCGGGTAAGACACCCCATTCTCATCGCTCTTATCCGGTAAGATTCTTGACCCTTTTCATGTTCATCCGATGAGAAAATTTATGCGTTAAACACTTACCAAGTGTTTAATAAACGGACCCTTAGCTAAAAGCTCGAAAAAGAAAATTCAAATTGTAGACCTAGCTGCTGCAATTGTGGACCTGAGTCAAATCCGATAAAAAAGTTTTGTCTTTTAGCTGGGTCCGACATGGGACTTGCGGATGTAGTGATATTCAGGTAAATCATGGAGAGGAATGACTAGGGGACCAATTTATATGAGAGGAATGACTATTTTGGCCAATCTCCCAAAAGAAAAACGAAGAACTTTTTTTATTCCGTCTTTTTCAAGGGGATGAAGGCGAACACAGATTTTCAGGTTCTTTTATCGAGAGTGAGGTTTGAATTTTTGACTTCTTAGAAGGTTCCGTTTTAGTTTACCTGTGGATCATATGGCAGAACGGTTGTTCATGAATCCTTTGATATCATGCCGTGTACTATGAATCAGAGACCGTCTACCTGCAAGATTCAAAAAACACTATATAAATGGGTTTAACATCTTTAATTCCTCTATTCTTCACCCAAAGATGGTAGAGATATATTAAATAATATAATATGATGACCTGAGAGGGTATGCACAAGACACAATTAACACAGACTTTCACCTGATTCCACCAAAAATTGCATGAAAAGATAAAAGGATAGCAAACACCAACCTCACAGATAACATCAAGTTCTTGGAATTATGAAGATCTAAAAGCTAGTTGGAACTTGGAAAACTTTTGAAGTTTATTTGACTTGAAGCAATCTTATTTTTTGCATTCTTGCAAATGCTTGTGTAATAACATGGATCTTACCGCAACCACTAGGACAAAGAGGCTGTTTCCCGGGGGGATTGTGCATGGCGCAAAGATGTGTGCAACAAGTAATCACAAAATATAACATGTACAATAACGAGTAACAAGAGTTATAAAAGAAGAGTCGAACATGAGAAAAAGCACACCAGGCACAATAAGAGACTCCATCTCTAACACAAGCAACCACCAACCTTGAAGACACTTCACCCCAACCCATCCTCCAGCCTCCCATCCCCTCCCCCAACCGTACTCCTACGTGCATTTAACTACCCTGATCACGGAAAGTTCAATTTCTGTAACCAAAGGGCCTTTGGCCTAGCGGTATCGTAGCCCTTGGCCTTCTAGGAGGTCAGGGGTTCAAACCTCACCATAGGTGAGGAGGGTGTGTGAGTTTATTTGTTCCATTTGTTGTATATAAATATTATATACTTCAAAAAAAAAAAGTTCAATTTCTGTAACTGCAAGTCTACTGCTGAACTTGAAACGGAACAGAACTTGATTGAACTTTCAAATAAANGGGGGGGAGAGAGAGAGAGAGAGAGAGAGAGAGAGAGAGAAAGGACAGAGACCTGAAACAAACTGCAAGCAAAACTGGTGGACAGATAATGGCAGCCTTCCATATTAATTTCTTGCACACAATTGAGGTTCTCCAGACCCAAGATGTTAACCAATTTGCAGCAGCTCTCAAGATCTAAATAGTTTAAGAACTTCATATTCGATAGATCAGGAATGTTTTCCAATGCTCTGCAATTCCTTGCAATTAGGTGACGAAGATTGGGAGGGAATTCCAAGATTGATTTAAGTTTCCAGCAACGACTCAAAAAAAGTTCTTCTAGGCTTGTTAGTTGACCAAGGCTGGACGGCAGCAGACAAAATCTGTTTTTACGTAAATCCAGAACACGCAGTGAGGATAATCCCCCGAGATCATCCGGAATATCCCATTCAGAGAGACTGCAGTAACTAAGATCCAACTTCGATAATGAATGTAAGCCAGATAAAGATGGTGGCAGAAAACTAGTAGCATTCAAAGATCGAGGTAATGCCAGAAACTGGAAGGATGGAAAATGAGATTTAGTCACTAAGCTTCTGCAATTTCCATGCGCAGATATTATTGTAATGTTCTTCAGAAGTCCAATTGAATCAGGTAAATTTTTTATTGCAGTTCCACCAACATGAAGATCTCTTAAGCACTCCATATTACCCAATTCCAAAGGAAATTGCTCCAAATTTGAGCATGCAGTGACAAATAGTTTTTGAAGGGATCTCAATTTGCAAATATTACTTGGAAGAGCAACAAGGCGTGGGCAGAAACTTACATGCAGCTCGATGAGGTTACACAGAAGCCCGATTGAATCGGGTAATGTCTTAATTGCAGTGTGATCAGCATGAAGCACCCTTAAACACTTCAAACTCCCCAAATCTTCAGGGAATTGTTTGAAACTTTTGCAATCATTAAGCATTAGTTTCTCAAGTGATACTGCATTGCAGATGCTACTTGGAAAACTATGAAGGGTACTGCAACCTTCCATTCTCAAGTCAGTAAGCCTACCCAAGCATCCAATTGATGGATGAACCTTCAACAAACTTGTGCAATAAAAAAGTTTCAACTTTTCAAGATTTGGTGTACCAGAAAAGTCTGGAGTCGCAGTCATCAGTTTAGATCGGCTGAGATCAAGGACCTTCAAGTTTGCAAGGAACTGTAGAATATTACAAGAAGATAAATACAGTTATCTATATTTACTGAAAACTGAAGTTTCTGTAAAACGAAATTTGAACATTTTTTTTTATCTTGAAGAAACAAATTAACATTGCAAGTGGTGCCATACCTTAATGCCATGCCACAGTACATTCATATTGTTGTTCTGCATATCAAGGAATGTAAGTTTTTCTGGATGAAAGTCAATCGGTAAACTTTCCAATGAGGAGTGATGCCAAGAAANATGATGCAAACGTTTAACGCAATATTTTAGAGAAAATGAGAGGACATACCTGTAAATCTGTAACGCTGCACAACTTGTTGCAAGAGGACTGCTGGCATACCACATACAACTAAGATCAGTCTGGAATTATCAAACTGGTTTCCACCTTTTAGAAACTTTGTTCTCGTTGCAGCTTATTTCAAGAGCACTGATATCCCCATCTATTTCTGTTGTGACCRGTGAAGATCGTTCAGTTGCCTTGATGATTGATTTATACGCAAGATGAATACCACACTTCTCCACCTTCAAATTTCCACGGGTTTCGAAGGAAACTTCAATCTGGTCTCCAGATTTCAACGGGTAAGGTTGAGGTCCATAATTTACCCATGTCTTTGCTTCAGGCTCAAAAGCTCTACATGGGTATCCATAGTGGAACCACTTTATACCATTTGTCTGGTTGTTCAGAACMRCACTKATATACTCCATAACGGGTCCATTCSATTTCWCTTCTTTGCCCTCTTGTATATAATCAACCCACAGAGTCAATTCAACAGAATCAGTTTCAACAATGCAAGAAAYGGAAGAGCCAAGWYTTTGATGATCAAACCAATGTGGAATCTCCCGTCTTGGAAGGTGAAGATTACAGTTCAGGTAACGGCCAGAGTATCCCTGTTCAAGAAATTTTTTGAAAATTATAATCTGGGGGGGAGAGAGAGAGAGAGAGAGAGAGAGAGAGAGAGAGAGAGTGAGAGAGAAAGGGAGGAGACCTGAAACAAACTGCAAGCAAAACTGGTGGACAGATAATGGCAGCCTTCCATATTAATTTCTTGCACACAATTGAGGTTCTCCAGGCCCAAGATATTAACCAATTTGCAGCAGCTCTCAAGATCTAAATATTTTAAGAACTTCATATTCGATAGATCAGGAATGTTTTCCAATGCTCTGCAATCCCTTGCAATTAGGCGACGAAGATTGGGAGGGAATTCCAAGATTGATTTAAGTTTCCAGCAACGACTCAAAAAAAGTTTTTTTAGGCTTGTTAGCTGACCAAGGCTGGAGGGCAGCAGACAAAATCTGTTTTTACGTAAATCCAGAACACGCAACGAGGATAATCCCCCGAGATCATCCGGAATATCCCCATCAGAGAGACTGCAGTAACTAAGATCTAACTCCGACAATGAATGTAAGCCAGATACGGATGGTGGCAGAAAACTAGTAGTATTCAAAGATCGAGGTAATGCCAGAAACTGGAAGGATGGGAAATGAGATTTGGTCGCTAAACTTCTGCAATTCCCATGCCCAGATATTACTGTAATGTTCTTCAGAAGTCCAATTGAATCAGGTAAATGTCTGATTGCAGTTCCACCAACATGAAGCTCTCTTAAGCACTCCATATTACCCAATTCCAAAGGAAATTGCTCCAAATTTGAGCAAGCAGTGACAAATAGTGTTTGAAGAGATCTCAATTTGCAAATATTACTTGGAAGAGCAACAAGGCGTGGGCAGAAATTTAACTGCAGCTCGTTGAGGTTACACAGAAGCCCGATTGAATCGGGTAATGTCTTAATTGCAGTGTGATCAACATGGAGCACCCTTAAACACTTCAGACTCCCCAAATCTTCAGGCAATTGTTCGAAACTTTTGCAATCACTAAGCATTAGTTTCTCAAGTGATACTGCATTGCAGATGCTACTTGGAAGACCATGAAGGGTACTGCAACCTTCCATTCTCAACTCAGTAAGCCTACCCAAGCATCCAATTGATGGATGAACCTTCAACAGACTTGTGCAATCAAAAAGTGTCAACTTTTCAAGATTTGGTGTACCAGAAAAGTCTGGAGTCGAAGTCATCACTTTAGACTGGCTGAGATCAAGGACCTTCAAGTTTGTAAGGAGCTGTAGAATATTACAAGATAAATATAGTTATCTATATTTCCTGAAAACTGAAGTTTCTGTAAAACGAAATTTGAACATTTTTTTATCTTGAAGAAACAAATTAACATTGCAAGTGGGGTGCCATACCTTAATACCATGCCACACTACATTCATATTGTTGTTCTGCATATCAAGGAATGTAAGTTTTTCTGGATGAAAGTCAATCGGTAAACTTTCCAATGAGGAGTGATGCCAAGAAAGHCACCTTAGCTCTTTGAATAAACCTTCAAAGCTTCCACTGAGCTGTGCATTTTCTATCTGAAGCAATCTTAACTTGTGCATCTTTGCAAATGCTAGCGTACTGATAAGCATTTGCATTGGTGGATCCAGGATGATGCCTTCAATTTCATTTGTTCCCTAAAGCAATAAAAAAATAAATTCAAAGTACATCTTTATTGAAAAGGATGGAGAAGAGAACTTTCTTCAATTAACCTTGTTAGTATATATGGAACCGCTTTGAATCTGTCTCTAAAAGAGCCCTTTGAGAAGAGAATGGGGGTTGCAACATATATGGAAATACCAAGGTCCAAGTCTAGAACACGTGGGACTTAACTCGCCCCCCTCCAACATAGGCTAGGCGAGCACAGATATCCAGATGGCAAACCTTGGCCGATAACATGTTAGGATATCTAGAACCGCTTTGAATCTCTCTAAAAGAGCCTTTGAGGAGAGAAGGGAGGTTCCAACATATATTGAAGTAGACAGGTCCAAGTTTAACCAATATGGGACTCTTAACAAACCTAATCAATCAAATTTAGAGACAATGAAAAGGGGGAGGGGAGAAAGAAGAGAACTTTATGACCAAACCAAACAAACCCAGTATATCGCCCCTAGAAGTAGGGTCTAGGGGGTAGGATGTAAGATGACCTTGGGTAGAGGCGTCTTACCAAGAGAACTTTATGACTGAAATCAAGATATATCTTTCATAAAAGCTTTAACAAATAAATGAATATGGAGGTCTCACCTTGTGTTTTGTAAGCACTTCATATACATCTTTATGCAACCATAACCGGCTATGCTTGCCAGGCTCATTAGGGAATTTCGAACGAACAACATGTCTTCCCATATCCCGTAGTAAGTCATGCATCCTAAATGTACCCTCAAAAAATCTAAGTAAACATTTATCAATTAGAATCCTGATTCCCACCTCTGGGAAGAAACCACAAGCCTTGAAAATATCCATTACAGGTGCAATGCCCATTCCATTGAAAAAACATGCAATATCAAGAAAGATATTCTTTACATCATCATCGTCTAATGCATCAAAGCTTATTCGTAGGATGCTTTGGATCTTCTTATCAGGAGTCAGCTGTAATTTCTCAAGTGTATTGTTCCACTGTGCCATGGTTCTTCCCATCAAAGAAGATCCTAAAACCTCAAGAGCTAAGGGAACACCTGCAGCATAACTTACAATTCCATCAGAAAGATGCATATAATTCTTCAGCGGAATGGTTCTCTGAAAAGCATGCCAACAAAAAAGGCTCAAAGACTCGACTTTGTTCAATCTATTGGCTTCATATCTGTCATCAGCTCTTGCTTGAATCAGYAGATGCTCATTTCTTGTCGTTATTATAATTCGACTTCCTGAACCAAACCAATGGCGTTGTCCTGCTAAACTCTSTAATTGATTAAGTTGATCCAAGTCATCAAGAACAATGAGAACTCTTTTGGMACGGAATCTTTCTTCAAGAATACTGATCCCTATATGTTCATTAGCAACCTTCAAATTATTTTCCCCAAGCAGTTGACATAAAAGTTGTCCTTGTAAACGCGCTATACCATTTGGACGTTCAGCCTCTTCTCTGACATTTGCAAGAAAGCAGCTGCCTTCAAAGAGATAGAAAGCCATATTGTAGAAAGCTTTCGTGATTGTTGTTTTGCCTATGCCACCCATACCATAGATGCCAACCATGCGGACATCGCCTGATCCAATTCTTAATAACGAATTCAAGTATTCAACACGAGATTCCAGTCCCACTGGGTGTTTGGCGACATGTAACTTTATACGTCTTACTTTATGACGAACATGCCCAACAATTTTTTGGATAAATTTAGCCTCATGCCTGTAATTTATTCAAACAAATGTAACTGGATATAACTCATTACATATATTGCAAATAAATACAAGCTATATAATATTATGTACTATTTTAGTGAACTTATATAAAAACACGTACTGGCAATAGGAGTATAGGACGATTGCAAATGATGGAATAGTAAATAAGAGATTATTAGAAAACAAAGAAATCTGTAGCATAGACGGGAGGAGGGGGAATTTAGAGGAGTTTGAGAGGGGGGACAGAGCGAGGGGGTAGTGCGGTTACAAGAGTCTCACACCAGATCGAGAGTTGTTTTAGTTTTTCCTACTTTTCATGACTACTATTGTATCTACCGGTGTAACCTCTTAATAGTATACTACTCTTAGCTTTCTCTCTTGTACTAAAGTTCCAAGTACTGCGCTGTGTTTCCTTGTTTCTTTTAACTTATTTTCCTTACATTTGTCTATGTTGCCTTTTGTGTACTGTACTGAGAGAATGTTTGCACACACTCTCACCTGTAGCTTGTTCTCTTGTTCCTTTAAATTTTTGTTTCGCAAATCAAGTATTTCCACGGAAGCAACCTTTCTACCCCTTGAGGTAGAAGGAAGGTTTGTGAACCCCCCCCAAAAGACCCAACTCTGCATGGGATTTACTAGTTAGTTTGGGTCTGATTTTAGAAAACAAAGGAACTTGCTAGAAAATTTGGGCTTCAAGATAGCAGTCAACATGCAATTGATAAGATAACATGGAGCAAAATTGCAAAAAATAGGCATTCGCTAGAGGTGAGATAACGATCTCTAGCAAATGCCTATTTTTCGCTAAGGTATTCTGATTTGTTGTAGAGCGTCCCACAAGATAATCCATGTAGATTCTCAACCATATYCATAAACTTCATACATTCCATGGAGAACAATTCTTTAATTAAGTTTGAACTCTAAATTGATTCTGAACATAAGCATAAATTTTATTGAACACAAAACAGTTCAGCATGGAAGCATAGTGCTTAGTAAATAAAGCCATATGCATAATATGATACAGGAATAATAATCAACAAAAATAACAAGATCTACCACAACTCCATGAACACTGTCAAAAGAAATGTTAAACCAAGACATATTTTGTATATGAGATGGACAAATGCCGAAATGCTCTTACCCATCTGACACCATTCACAACACAAAGGAGACAACCAGATTTTTGGTTGTAGTTTCTTCAAATGATATAGAGAAGAATGGCATAGCTAAGTATAAGTATCCTAGATAGTTAAACCATTGAAGTACCTCTGCATATTTTCTAGATCTTATATGGTGGCATAACTTTCCCTAACATTCAAATGATACAATTTAAAAGCCATGTCATATTAGATTAAGCAAGCCACCTGTATAACTGCCTTCCTTTGAATATGAGATTCCAAACAATCTAAATCTAGAGCAGAAACCTACCAAAATTTAAGTTAACAAACTAAACGATTGCATACAGGCACAATAAGATCAAGGATCATCAATCAAAAAAATATTACCCGTCCGAGATGACATTCAGATCCCATTCCGAGAAATTTCTAGCATCAAAAGCACCTCCAAAACCCTCCCGCACATCAATCGGACTAACATCATAAAATATAGCAAGAACCAATTGCCCAACCTTTCTCTTACAGTCGATTATCCTCACCAACTCATCCAAGCACCTGCTCGAAGAACCATAGTTTTTCGAAAACACGATAATCGAAGCCCTGGATTCTCCTATCGCTTTTRTCGATTCCAATGAAACATCGGAACCTATTGRCAGTTCATCGTTGTGATAACCCATGAAAGTGCGAATTCCAGCAYGATCTAGAGCCGTGTAGAGATGACCAGTAAAGGTTTTGAGAGTATCTTTCGGCCTGTAGCTCAAGAATACATCGTATTTCCAAGACGTTGATGATGAAGATGGCGGCTTCAAAGGCAGGCCATGGATGTTTGCATCGGAAGAATGCATGGATGAATTATCTAGTCAACACACTCACTCACAGTGGAAGCAGGTTTCTGTAAGTAGAAGAGAGCTCCAATGGCGTTTAGTCAACTCCGGTTCGTCAAATTTCAGTCCCCCAAATCACGAGAATTCTTAATAATTTATATACTTGCAAGTTGCGAGTGTCATGAAACATATTCTATTAACATCATGCAATTTTGCCACTTAAGAGTTAATTACACTTTTGGTCCTTGTAGTTTGCTCAAAATTTAAATTTATTCCTTAAAACAAACTATTTACACTATGGTTATTAGCTTTTTAATTTTATAACATTTAAGGTCCATGAAGTTAGTATCGTCACTTAACAATCGTTAAAAGAGACAAATAAATCTCTCGACAAACTATAAGTACCAAAAATATAATTCAGGGGCTGTTTACTCAAATGATTACCCAGTAAGTGCTTACCTATAGGAGTCAACACTACAATTTATTTTTATGCGTAAGATTTTAGTACATCAAAACATATCGAATGCAATAATTTACTAGGTGAGCGCTTATCTGGGTAAGAGTCGCAATCCTTACTTACCGGGTAAGAGACTCCATTCTTTTCATTGCTCTTATTCGGTACGATTCTTGGCCCTTCTCATGTTCATCCGTTGAGGAAATTTATCTGGTAAACACTTATCGAGTAAGTATTTAGTAAACGACTCCTCACTCCAAAATTAATTTGATTCATGTATATTTTCTTTAAATTTATTTATTAAAATATTTTAAATACGATCAACAAAAACTAATATTTTAATTATTATATCAATTTTAATTGTTGTATTTTATTTATAAGTATTTGATCATGCAATTTAATAATTTCTCATAATATTTTAACTTTTAAAACATGATTACCTTTTACATAAAAAAAATTATTTATCCCCACAAACATATTTTAATATATAATATTTAACTTAAACTGTACTTGGAATATTTTTAGCAAATATTTTTTTTCCAAACGATGTTAATTTTAGATAGTTTGGCCAAAAACGGATTTGTCTCTTCTAACGGTTGTCAACTGATGGTGTTAACTTTAGAGACCTTAAATGTTATAAAAGTAAAAAGTTAAGGACCAAATGTAAATAATTCGTTTTAAGGAATAAATCCATGATTTAGACAAACCACCAAATGTAGTTATGAGTTTTGTTTAAATTTTGCCAAATCCATAACACTCCAAATGTATTAATCTATAGAGTTAGGGTTGGTTACCTTTTTCCCCATTAAGGGGCCGTTTACTAAACATTTACCCAGTAGGTGTTTACCGGGTAAATTTCCTCACTGAACGAACATGGCAAGACCCAAGAATCTTATCTGGTAAGAGCGATGATAATGATAGATAGTCTTACCCAATAAGTGAGGATGATGACTCTTACCCGGGTAAGCACTTACCATATATATTGCTGGACACGATACCATTTTGAGATACTATAATGTAACCTAGAAAATAAATTATAGTGTTGACTCCTAAAGGTAAACGCTTACCGGGTAAACAGCCCCTAAGTCATGTATTTGTAGGTTTAGATAGGGATAGATCTATGAAGGTCCAAGCAGAGGCCTATACACCCTGTCAACCCATTTTTCGTAAGTAGAAATCTTTTTGGTATGAAAGGTGTCCCCACTAAGCTTTAAGATGTGCCTCGGAATATTATAATTTACAGAAAACATCAACCAAAAAATTGGAAAAATCTCTCAAAATCAACAAAAAAAAAACTCGAAAAAAAATCTCTCAAAATCAACCAAGAATCTAAAAAGAATCCATTGAAACGGTAGAATTCGACTAAAAACACATTTGACGACTTTGTGGGCCTTCAATCCAGCTGCAAGGTGCACATGTTCGGCAAAAAGCTTGGGTCCGGCATTGTGTCTAGATAAATTTGTCTGTTTAAGGGACGAAAGACCTATGAGTTTGAAGGAAGCAAAGAGAGAGGGTTTGATCATTTCTTGTATAACTTATTTGAGATGTCTGACAATTGAGGAGTTCTAACTTATCCCATATAATCATTTTCATTTAATGGCATAACTATTAAGTCGTAAAGAAAAACACATATACGGAATAAGCAAATAAATCTTAAGGGTTGTTTGTTTACCTCTTAATAGTTTCATTAAGAAGCAACCTCTGAATTGTTAACAGGTGAATCTTGTTTGGTCTCTTAATGGTTTTCTAAAATCCTCTGAATGATTTTGTATCTTGGATCTCCCTTAACCATTAAGAACCCTAATTTTATTGTACACAATTACCAAACAATTATATTTCATTTTGCACTATATCATAAGAGCCTCTTAATCATTCTGCACCAAACCATTCAGCAATTGCCAAACATCCTCTTATAGACCATTAAACTCATTAATCTACAGGTGAACACCCCTTTATTTATTTTTTATTGAAAACATATTTTGATTTGTAGTTGATCTTTTTATTAAACTACAATAACTTTTTTCCCCATGAAAAATATAAGACACGTTTCAAAAATATAATTTCTTTTTACCGCAACAAATAAATTTTGTCCCGCCTTAATGGAATAAGTTATCGATCTAAAGTCACCATCTCATACACCTAACTGGCTAACTCTTAATCATCCATTTTCCTCCCTCATGGAATTGTGGTTTATGTTACAATCCGCACTTGCAATCGTAAACATATTTATTTACAAATATCATGATTTGTTCATATTAAAGAGTTATGACGTAGATACTGAGCAGAATATTATGCCACTACTGAAAATTAATTACAGTTATGTGAATCAAAATGGTTATGCAACTGGACATGGGGATTACTTAAGAACTTATGAAAGTGAAATTGTAATAAGCCACCAAATCTATAAGTTAAGCCCATTTTAATGGTACTTGAAATATCAGTAGGGTTCCTGATATTCTATATGTCTTGGATGGAATGTAAAAGGGGGCGCTCAATCTATATGAACTTCTTTTAATATATTGTTTCCTCGTCATAAATAACAATGAAATAAAAAAAAATACTATATTTCATATAAACTGTTTTCCGAGTATTCTTTGACGCAAAATTACTCAATAATTATTTTTATGTTAATATTATCTACCATATCATTTTTACATAGCATCAACTAGTTTCACCATAAAAACATTCTACAATATACCTTTAATGTGTGTGTGTGTGTGTATTAACATTATTCGATGTCACAGTGTTCATTATTCGGAGTAACATTTTATGTAAATTATATAAATCAGTTGGGTTTCCATCTTACCTAATGTTAATGCTTCTCATCACCATTAAAATTTTAGGGTTAAACAAACTTTTTTGAAACCATCAATCTTAGAATCAAAAGTCCATATTGATTATTGTTTGAGATTTTATTATTGTTTAAAAGACAGAGAGTACTTAAGATTCATGCACTCAGTATTAAGGAATAAGGAGTTTATAATGTATGAGAAAACAAAGGTGATTTAGAAAATTTGAATATAAATATAAGTTGGACTCTATCATATGGTTGGTAATTTTTTTCAAAAGTTAGGAGTTCTCTTAGTTAATAACAAAAAAATCTATTATATTTCAATATAAAAATATAATTTATGCAGACTGAATAATAATAAAAACATAGTGAGAGATTAATGATAAAGAATATATCAAGGTTTTCTAGGTAAGTAGTTTTAGATTTTGATACTAGACAAAAGACATAAAGAAACAATAAACAATACTATAAAATGAACGATCAATTAACTTTTTTTTTTCATGTTTTCTTATTCAATGTAATCAATTAATACATGTATGTTGTAACACTTTGAATTTTTGGTAAGTAAGACTCCAAGATTTTCCTATCTTTTATCTGTAAAGAAGTTTCAGTTAATACCATGAAGGGTAGTCTCTTGAGGTTCACATATTAGGCAAGAAAAGGACCCAAAAGGGTGAAAATGAAGAAAAAATCTCGATATAATTGGGGCTATTGTGCCTCGCTATAGTGTCGCTTAGGCACAATAGCTATCAGGAGCGCCCCAAGGAGACGAGTCCTCGATACGATCCGTGTGATAGTTTCCGCTAAGGGCAGGATCGCCAGGCATTCCCCAACACCATTAAAACTCGAATTTCAGCTTTCTTCTTCATTTACTTCTCATCTCTACCTCATTTCTCCCCCGTAAATTCTGTTAGGGTTCACCTAGGTCAAGATAGATCCTTTTAGAGCATTTATTACTTTCCAATGTTGAAGATCACAAGTCTAGACCAAGATTCAAATTCACCTCCTCCATTTCTAAGATTTTGCTTAGTATTCTGTGTTTTCTCTAAAATCCCATCAAGTTGTAAATGCTTTGTAAAACTAGATATATGCCCAAATGTGTTTCTTGATATCATTTCAAACTTTAATTGCAAGTATTACATAACCATTTGGTGATTTGGTCTCATACTCATAATTGATGAACTTTTATGCATTTTTGGGGTAAATATTTATACTGGGGTTATGATAATGAATCTTTGTGTGTTAAATTTCTATTTGGGACATTTCAGATGGAACTTGGTTCATTGTCTTGGTATTTTCATAAAAATCATATTTGTCTATAAATTATGGTTTCATGAGTTTAGATGAGTTTATGAGGGTTTTTTTTTACAATTTTCAAGACATAATGAAATAAAGATTATCTAAATCTGGATTTGCTGGACATTTCATTTGAGATACATGTTTGGATGAAGGTTCTCAAGTAGGCACTAGGAGGGTTGAATCTTGAGGTATTACCTTAGAGGTAGACACTAAGAATTCCACCGCTTTAGGTGTTACTTTAGAGGTAGACACTAAGTGTGTCGATCCTTGAGGTGTTATTCGGTCAAACGATTCTTGAGGTGAAATTTGTTAAGTAGTCGTTAGGACACTTGGACTATAATTCTTGAGGTGTTATGGGACAATGTTGTTTGAGTGACATACTTTTGTGTTCCTATCACTCTCAATGGATACGGGTTGCCCCCGTTGATTCCACCTAAAAAGTCGTACTTGGCTTTACAAATGGTTTTAACCAATTATATTGCAATTTGTCTACTTTATGTTCATGTTCACTAGGCTTTTTAGCCTAACATTTGTTTTGTGCTGGCATATACCTCAGATTTTAGTGATACAGTCGCCAAGAAGGTTTGACCGGTCTTTTTAGATAGGGAGATTGGGGAGCATTTTGAGGTGTCGACTTGTGGTTTAGGTGACACCCAATTGCATTCTTATTTCTTCAAGAGATTGGATTAGTAGGTTGTTATCTTCATACTCAATTGTTACACTTTATAATTATCGGGCGTATTTAAGTTTCCCTTTTTGGGAAGGCTCGTGTCTTGATATTTATATACCACATTTATGGTTTCTTTGAAATTTTATGTTGTCCCAATTTTTGGGGTATTACATATTGATCCTTAATTTAATATTGAATTTTTTATATCTTGTAACTAGTATTATATATTTAAAAATTTTGGACCCTTATTTTTTATGGGCCCTGAACATGCATCTGACCTAACCTTGAATACCAGGAGAACAAACTATTAATGCACCTACATTTTTGAACATATAATATGCCATCAAAGTCCATCAACTTAACATAAAATAAAGGAACCACCAATTACAGTCTTTAATCAATCCACAACGAGAAGTGAAAATTTTATCTGGTAAGTGAGGAAAAAACTCTTATTAAATAAGCATTTACCGAGTAAAAGACGCTTACCAACTATGCATTTTTGGTAAAAACTTACTTGGTAAGCAATTTGGTAAAAGAACCTTTAACGTAAGTTCTTTTATGTTATTTCACAAAATTTTACGCCATTGTAATTGGAAATTATCCTCGATTACCACATGCTCATTTTTTTAGCTGATTTATGTTTTATTTATGTCCAATATATGACAAAGTAAAGAAATACAAATCATGAAATCAATACCAAATACGTTAACAAAATTGACGTTAAAAATAAACGCCTTTTGTAAACAAAATTTATATTAAAAAGTAATAACGTTATTAACTATTTTATGTTTGTCGGTTTTGAAAACAAACTATATATTAAAAAAACACCAAAATTCGCATTTATCATGCCGATCATATATTAAAATAAATATTTTTAAACTCTCATATATATATTTTTTAAATCTTATTTTCCAAAAATATAATTTTAAAAATAAAAAAGTAATATAAAAATATATATTTTTGAACACGATTTAAAGTAACACAAATTTGCTTTTATTATTTCTTAAATTGAAAGAGAAGGTGATTACAAAAGCCGGTCACTTTCCGTAGGAAGTTGCAAGGCAGTGGGCATGTCGAAATGCCCAACAAGACCTTACCTACCCAAGTCATTGAAGCATTAATCCAAGGGTGTTCTCGTCTTTTCATGAGAATAAAAAACCGCAGGTTCAAGATATCCGGACAAGATCCAGCCCAAGAAGAAAACAAGGGGCCCCGAAACAAACCAAGGAAAGAAAGAGACGTTTTGGGCAAGAAACTTGACAAGAAAAAATAATGGTAATAAGAGTGAATTACAAATTTGGTCCCTGTGGTTTGTGGAAAATAACACTTTTCATAATTATAATTTTAAAATTACAATATGACCATCATAATTTGTAAAATTATCCAAATTTGATCTATCTCTAATAACCGCCAAACAAATTTGTTCTTTTATTGATATTTACCCAATCAAAATCGATTTATGATTTTGATCTCTGTGGTTCTTAATTAAATAAAAGACACAAAATCGACAAAAGAATAAAAAATTTCTTCATTTGAAGGAATTTTGTTAATGAATATTGAAGGAAGAAACTAAATCAGGATGTTTTTGCAAACCACGATAACTATCTTGTAATTTTAAAAATGTAGAGATGAAAAAATGTTATTTTCCACAAAGCGCAGGGACTAAATTTGTAGTTTACTAAAAATAATAAAAAGAAATAGTAAAAAATCTCTCTATATAAACCCGTCGAGTCTCTTGAAAATCCTTTCTTTCTTTTCGCAATCTGAGCATTTTCCTCAAGGTACACCTACTTTCTCTCTCTATTTCTATTTCTTTTTCTATTTTTTATTATTTTATTTTATTTTATTTTATTCAATTATTATTTTAAATTGATTGTTCATGCTTTACTGTTACAAAATTAAGAAATGGGTTTTGGTGGGTTTTGCTTTTGATTCACTGTTTATGAGATCTGGCGGTCTCATGTATGAATCTTGGGTTGATTTTGAAAAATGTGCATATATATGTATGTATGTAATAGGTTTTCAATTTCTATTCCACATGAACTTATAATTAATGAGCAAAAGGTAAATCCCAAGGATATATATATATATATATATATATATATATATATGGATGTATGTATGTATGAGATTAAAGATGGGTTTTAAGGTTATAAACATAAGATGTTTGTAATCACTGAGATTTATTGGTTTTTGGATTAAGAATGTTGGTTGGATCTTGGTAGATTTAGGACTTATTAGGAGTGTTCATGATGTGATTAACTCAATAATTGATGCTTTTAGTTAAAATGATATGGGATTCAATCGTAGAAAAGATCAGAGCTTTTTAGGATCTAAATGGCTTAACAAGACTCACAACTTATTCGGTCAGCTATACCTTTACATGATTGTTTAGTAGTGGTTTAAAGATATAGAAACTGGCTTATTCAAAAAGCTTCCAGGGGGAAACTTAATCCGAAAAGCCAAGTTTTTTCAAAATTAAAAAAAACACGCTCCATCCATGTATGGAAAAATCGTTCTAAAGAAAAACCCTTTTCAATCCATGCAACAGAGTAATCCAAAGTCAATTTTATTCGTACAAGACTTAGGAAAACCAACAATTTGTTATAGTTATATGATACACATATCTTGTTCATCCAATACGATGATTCTTCCTTCCCCTATGTGATGTTCATTAGATCATACATGTTTCTTATGCAGATTTATAGGGGCGTGCGAAGAAAAAACGTGCACAATTCAAGATTGCAATCTTAAAAAAAAATACTCGAAACTCGAAAGTAGATGTATTTTTCCAGAAAATGAGGTGAAAAACGTAGTCTTTAAACTGTAAACATGATGGAAGTCGAGACTGCAAGTTCACGGGGAAACAATATTATGATGATGGAAGTGAATATGGGAAATTCTCGACCCAACGAGAAGCGGGCGTTAGAAATTTCTGCACCCGGAAATGAAGCAAGGAAGGATACGGAAAACAAAGGAAGTAATACCACCGTATTTATTAACCATGGTGAGTGTCTTGCTTTCTGCTTGATAACGTGAATGCAGATATAACTTGTATACACGTTGACAAGTGCCTGAACGATTTTGTAGGCGTGATTGCTTGGAACGAGAGCAGAAGAAAATGGATCGGAGATCAGTCTCAAAGATCACGAAGAGGAAGGACGCCAGAAGATCCCGTCATAAGGTTTGATTTATTCCCCATTTGGTTTCATCCAAAACCTTACCTCCAATTGCTGGTTTGTTTGATCTCAAAGATTCAAATCCTTTTTCGTTCACTTAAATTCATCGCTCGGTTTCTACTGCAGCTGGTCAACAACTTACGAGGACCTGCTTTCAAATAACAACCGTTTTCCCGAGCCAATCCCTCTACCCGTAAGATTACTTGCCCTCCTTACACTCGTAGAAGTCGACATTCACGCTGACCCAACAGACCCGCGTTTTAATTGTTGTTATCTTGACTATTTTTTGCAGGAGATGGTAGACTTCTTGGTTGATATCTGGCTTGATGAAGGTTTGTATGATTAGATAAATCGGTTAGTTTTCGACTACAAAAATTGTAGTCATCAGAATGTTTATAGCACCGTGCATTCGGTTTTCTTCACCGATCAAGATGTTTCTTGATCGAATAGAGTTGGCCGAGTGTCGGTTCTTCTGTCGGGTTGGTTGTTTTTTCGGGTAAATTGTAAGTTAATAGCATGAAGATGGCTTTCTAGAGCTTAGGGAGGACCAAATAAAGTAGGAACTTTGTAACAAGATTTCATGTATTTATAGTAAAACTTTTGATGGTTCTTTTGCTACTTGTCCCCTATATCAATTTAATGGGCTTGCTTGGTTTGATCTACGGTGTTTGGAAGTCATAAAAGTTGGTATTTTGATTTCTATACGCAATACCAAAAACGTATTTGGTACAATAAATTTATTCTCAAAAGCAAGAAATCGTGTCTATTGGATTCGAAATTTTGAAGAAATTAAGGTCTAATGGTTTATACGTGTTTCTGTTTTCGTTTAAGAGTCATCGTAATCGACAAATGAAGTCGCGTCATCGTGATCGACAAATGAAGTCGATAAATTGGAGTCTCGTTAATCAATAAATCAAAAGGACATTTTTATTATTATGAGACAGCTTCAGTTAAGAACTTGATTTCCGTCGTGAACCTGGGACTAACGTGAACATATGAAGAATGTGGATATCAGGTTCGCAACTGAACCAAAATTTTCAGTATCTATAAAATATTTAGGTAAAACTATTAAATTGAAGAATTAAAATTGGTTTATTTGAAATAAATTATATTTTAAATTTGAAGGATTAAAAAAATTGTTTCAACAAATATACTAAGGGGGTGTTTGGGATTGCTTATTTGAAACAAGTTATGTTATTCTACAAAAACACTTATCAATTTATTACAAGTCAGAAGGGTTTAATTTCTTCAAAAACTCCTTATTACTGATTTGATACCGATATAAATTATTTATCCAAACACTCAAAAGTACTTATTATCGATATCACACTGAAATAAATTAATAAGTTATTTTTATTAAAAAAAAGAATATTAAAGAAATCTTTACCAAAATATTCCACAAACAGATGATGAAAACACAGCTTATTTTTTTCCTTTTCCATTTTCTTCTCTATTAAAACGCTGTTTTTATGCTTTTCCTTCTCTTCCGTAGGCCGTAGCCGACGAGAGTGAAGGACGACGACCGTCGACGGTGGCTGCTCGATTTCTCACCAGATTTCTCATTTGTCAGGTCTGTTGATTTCTTCTTTCCGTGGTTAGGGTTTTTTTTTATGTTGATTTTCCTTTTTACGGTAAAATTTTACATGACAGTTCCTGATGCTTTTCCTTTCTAGCCTGCTATACGTCCCCAACCGATTTTGGGGACAGGCTTTCAAATTTTGCAATGCATTAATCACCACAATGTTTTTGAATCAGTTTCTGCAATGGAGTCTAGTTGCCCTGTTTGAACTGTTTTGAATCGGTTACTTCAAGAACAAACAATTAACTTCAAAAATTAGTTTTGAATCGATTCGATTTGATATTATTAGGAAGCGGAGTTTCAGCTTTGATGGTGGATGGAGAATCGAAGTTTTTCTAATTTTGAACATTGATAGTCATGTTTGTACCTGCGAAATTCTCTCTTAGAGTTGATTTTGCGCACTGGAACAGCGATTTAGGGTTCTTTGAATGCTAGAACACCTGTTGCTTTCGAGAAATTCAGTTTCTAAATAAACCTGTTTTTGGGAAAAAGCAGCGATCCGTGTTCAAGTAATCAACTACGATGAACCCTAATGATGTTCTTATTGCAAAATTTGAGTTTAAATCATTCATTTTTGTGATAATGGCTATCAGGTATAACAATTTATGCAAATTTGATGCTTTATTTGCTGTAACAATGGTGGGGAGATACAGTGATGACGATGAAGATGAAACATTTTACTACAGATATGCCTCTGTTGCACCACAACCTCCCTCATCCTCTTCTTCGGACAAAACCCTATCAAAATCCTCATCCCACCGTGGCGGTGGTAGTGGCAGCAGGAGTGGCGGCCTAGCTCCATCCAAATCCACCGTCTATGTGAGCAACCTTGATTATAGCCTAACCAATTCCGACCTATTTACCATCTTTTCCACTTTTGGCAAGGTTGCGAAGGTCACAATCCTCAGAGATCGGGTCACCCGTGAGAGCCGTGGTGTTGCTTTTGTCTTGTTTGTGGCTCGGGATGATGCGATAAAAGCAGTCAAGGGAATTAGTGGGAAAGTTCTTAACAGCCGAACTTTAACTGCATCAATAGCTGCTGATAATGGTCGGGCTCCAGAGTTTATTAGGCGGAGGGTATACAAAGATAAGAGCAGATGCTATGAATGTGGAGAGGGTGGTCACTTGTCATATGAGTGTCCGAAGAACCAGTTAGGGCCACGGGTTCCGCCGCAGCCATCGAAGCGGGGTAGGAGAGAGGGGCGTGGCGGCAGTAGTGGTGGATACAGGCGGAGCAAGGAGGAGGAATGGGGTGGGGATGACGATGAAACTGGTGGTGATGAGGTGTTTGAGGATGATAATTGGGCATCAGTGGTGGACAATGGAGCTGATGAGAGGCTGTTGGGTGGTGGTAGAGATGGGAGTCAGGCTGCAGCCAAGAAGAAAGGGAAAAAAGAGAAGACAAAGAAAACAAGTTATTTTAGTGATGAGAGTGACAAAGAGGAATGATTATCGTTTGTTCACTTTTTCTTGTGATAACCGTGAGTTTTCGGGTCAATTTACATGCATTGACTAATCCTCTGGACGACCACGAATAGTCTGGAGTCATCACACATGAACCTTCATGACCACAAGTGCTTTGGCAATGGTTGGATTCAGACTTCAATCAGAGTCCTATGTTATTATGCTACTTTTCGTATCCGTCTTCCTTGTTTACTCCAGGTACTTGTTTGTATAAGCTCCTATGTTATTTAGGGACGTTTCAATCTTTTGGTAGGTCTTTTTACGCTCAATTTTTAGTTACAATGCAAAATGAGATAGCTGTATGGGATATACCTGTATCAATATAATAGCACTGTAATGTTAGAACAACAACTGTTTAATGTTCGGTAACCTCGACTCTTATTTGAGCTTTTAATTACAAGGTACATAAATGACACTATCGAACGGCGAACTTATCTTGATGCCCCTGACTTCTGCATGATGCAACAAATGAATTAGAGGAGATGGGCAAAGAAATTTAGGACTTGGTTCAGTTTGCCTTATTCAGCTTTTGCATACCATCATCTCATGATCACCCATGATCTCATCTATCACCTCTTGTAATGGCTTATCAGCACTATTGGGTACAACAGCTGCAAATACAGTTCCTGCTAATCCTGTGTACAAGTACAACAATGTAAACATCCCGACCTACTGTATCTACTCTTCGAACCCAATATCTTCCACTTGAAAGTACAGTACGAGGGATGGAATGCATGCAAACCTGCCCTCCACCCCCAAAAATAGAGCGGTTGTCTCCGGAAAGACCGGGTGATAGTTACATCTATGCTCGTAAATGCACGCTTAGTTACAGCAAATTCCAGTTTAGTAATGGATTTGGCCGAAAATAGTGCAAGTTGCAATTCATTTCATCCTGGAAATCAATGGAAAATCTTGTTTGATAATGAATGGTAAGAATTACCGGATTCTGAAAAAGAATCGATGAACATCATCATCTCCTCGCCTGTAAGACCGGATAAAAAGCAAATCCGTGGTAGCGATTTTGCAATCTGAAAAGAACAGAAATTTTTATCCAACTTTACTAAACAAAAAGCAAAGGCACAAGACAAAACAACTTTATGATGAGAATTCAGTTGTATTCATGTCATTTTGCTGATAACAAACCAATCAAATTTGCTGTAAATGACTAGCATTTACTCGTATAATGGCTAGGGGGCGAACCTTTGAAGCTTCAAGGTTTGGCTGTTTGGTATTTATAGCTTCCCAAAGAGAGCCAAGGAGCATATCTTCGGTGCAAAAGATAACCTAAATTAGACACAAATGTACCCGTATTAACAATAACCCGAATTCTCCGTCCCTAAAACCCGACTCGACATTTGATTTTCAAGTGTCAAATACTTGGCCATTAACTTCAAAACCCACAAAAAATTTCGTCCAAAAAGTTCAAATTATTGAGCGAAAGGTGGACCCTGAAACTGCTTCATTTTATTTAGTCTAAAGCTTCAAATGATCTGAAAATGCGACATGGCTTGATACCTCTAAGAATTCACCATCTAACTCTTTCAAAAACTTCTGTATCTGCAACAACAAATTGCGTGATTAGGTTCCATTCGTTTTGCCTCGAGGAGAGAAAAGATGTTTCAACATATATAGAGGAGAATAACAGCCGATATGTGACGCTAACACGCTCTTTCCTATGGAGATGAAAACTGCTCTGTGAGACTCGTTCCTTATTTTTTTTTATTAACCTGGATATTCAACCCGTTATGCAAGCCGACTAATCCTAGGGCAACCACATGCTTTGCAGATAGCCCGGAGTTTCGCATTTGAACCTCTATGGCCACAAGGGGATTTTTATTCCTCCTTGGATTTGAACTGAGACCTCTTGATACTTTTGACCTTTGGAGTCGAACTCAAACCAATCAGGCACCACCCTTGTGGTCAAAGAGAATAGGTCCAAATCTAGACGCATAAGAAACGAGGGAAAGAAGATAGATCGAACCTTCACAAGCTCATCGACTTGAAAGCCCAGCAATAACAAAGCCTGCAAATAGATGGTTAACTTGATGAAAGTATCTAATATATGATAGATATTAACCCGCAATAATTAGGGGATGATTATGGGTTATTTGATTGATAATTGGTAAAGAACTAACCACAACTTACTGGTGGACCAAATGTAGGATCATCAGGATTTAGAGGAACAAACTTTGAATCTTCAATCAACTCAGAAGCAGATCCTATATGAACACATCAAAATTGAAAGGATTGATTACCAATTGGTACGATTATAAGTCACTATTATTAGGGTAGGAGGTTATTTAAGAATACTGCTACAATAATGTGCTGTAAAAAGTGGAATTCCATGGGGGAAAGGGAACTAAAACCTTCGGAAGCTGCGTTGAGGAGATGGTTGAGCTTCAATCCATGGTGCGTGTGGGAGATTCGAGTCTGAAATGATGATGAAAACTTGAAAACGTTCAAAGGCACAGATGGATTTGAGAGATTTGGAGGTTGAGAATAGGTTTGCACCCTGGTTATGATTGTTGAAGAAGCCATAGCCATGAGAGATATGATGAAGATGAGAGGATTTTATCCACTGCCTTTGGGTTTAATACCATGGTGTACTTGGTTCATCACTTTTTCACATTTGACCCTCCAATTGTGTCTTAAAATGTATCTTTCAAAATCTTCAAAATCATAAGGTGGTGCCTGATTGATTTGGACTTGATTTCAAAATTAAAAAAATATCAGGAGTCTTATATTTAAATCCAAGAAGAAATAAAAATCCTCTTGTGGCCACGGAGGTTTAAATACGGTAACTCCGGACTATCTGTAAAGCAGGTCGTCTTGGAATTAGTCGGCTCACATAGCTGGTTAGATAGGTTAATAAAAAAAATCTCTTTAAAATATGGTGATTATCTAAATGAACTTGAACAATAATTTAACCATCAAAACATCTAGAAAAGTGGTTATAAAGTGAATTAAAATCGAAAGATTAATTACTCTGGTCAATTTCTTACAGGATTAACTAAGAAGCCGTTTATCTAAATACTTATTCGGTGAATGTTTAACGGTAAAATTCAATGATGTCGCTTACTTATCTGATAAGATTTTTAGTCTACACAAACGACATCATATGTAACAACTTACCCAGTAAGCGCTAATCATGGTAAGAGTTGTCGCCAACACTTATCGGGTAAAACTCTCGGTCCTTGCCTTCACTCTTACCGGGTAAAATTCTTGGTCCTTACCATATTTATCCAACGAGGTAATGTGACTTGGTACGATTTGCATCGTAAGCTAACACTTTAATTATTGTCTTCAACTCTAGTGTTTATCTTTAGTGTTTGATCGATTATGTCTGACCAAGCCTCAATACCTCATAGTGTAACCTGATTAGTGAGTGACTTATCAGTAACTATCTGGTAACACCTGGTAACCGATGGTAACTATCCGATAAATTTCGTGTAGGGTCAAAATACTACTTCTGTGAAGTGTTTGACACGATCCATACTTTAATCTAAGTTTTTCATTGATCTATCAAGACACCGACATAATTTCTATCAAGTTTATCAAAAATAAAGTGTTAACTTTCTTATTTTAACCTTAATTATGAGATGATGAAATTCATTACTTTCTATATTATTAAAAATTAGAAGGGTACTCGCACAATGCAGCGAGATATATCTTTACTTTAATGCTTTGTATTATTTTTTGTCTTTGTTGATATAATACGATTTATGTGGTTTTAGAAAGATAATGTTTTTATGATTTAATGAATTAATTTATTTTTGGCTTAACAATAACATTTTATAAGGATAATGATTTTGTTAGAACTCAATGATTATCATAATTATATTTTAGATTATATAAAAAATGATATGTTTATCCTGTATTTGATAATGTTTATCTGCAGTTAGTTATACGAATTCACAAATGGAACTTTAATAAGTTGTACTTACACATAATTTACTTGTAACATTAAATTTTAAGTAATGTGCGTTAATATACAGTACTTTATGCATAGAGAATGGTTTTGAGAGTTTTTGTCAAATGTTTTATAATATAGTATAGATAAAACTGTTATTAATTAATTAAAAAGTGTAATGATTATAAAATTTTAAAACTATTACCGACTTTATTTTGAGCCAGAGGATTATAAGATTAGTTTCTAAAAATGACTTTGGTCATTTAATTAAGAAAAAAAATCCGAAAAAACCCTAATACTTTTAGGATTTTTTGAGGGATTAAATTCTGGATATTTTGTGAACAAATAAATTTATGTATTTATTGAAATACAAGGTTGTGATTAAAACTCGAACAAAATGGTCCTTCTGACCTAGACACAAACTAAAACCAACTATTGTGGTAAAAATAATCAGGAAAAAATCAGAAGAGAAAACCCCAAAAAACATTAATATTTAAAATATTAAACCCATAAACATTTTTTTATAAACAATACTTTACAATAACTAATGGAACTGATATATTTCTTACTTTTTACTGGTTCTTTATACGTTGGCACCTGTCTGTTAATAGATCAAGAGAGAATTGGTATATTTTTTGATTCATAAGTACAATGGTTTGTTCGCAAAAAAAAATCCATATACCTAAATGCTTGAAATATGAAAACCCCTTTGGTTTATACGTCAAAATAATCAATTTGTTCAATTTCAGAAAGTAAAAATGTTTTTTTTATTAACCTGGATATCAAACCCACTTTGCGAGCCGACTAATCCCATAGCAACCACCTGCTTTGCAGGTAGCTCGAAGTCATCGCATTTGAACCTCCGTGGCCATAAGGGATTTTTGTTTCTCATTGGATTTGAACCTGAGACCTCTTGACTTGGAGCTAAGCTCAAACCAATTGAGATAGCAGTAAAATATTAAATAAATATTTTTGTATTTTTTTTTGGAATACTGAAGGCATGCGCTAAGTAAAATGGAAAAAAAAATTGTAACTCAGATAGGGTGCGTTTGGTGCGCAGACAGGACTGGACAGGACAGGACAGGACAGGACGGGACAGGATAGGACAGGACAGCTGTTCAGCGTTTGGTAAGACAGGACAGGACAGGACATGATAGAACTGGTTAAAATGACCAATTTACCCCCAGTGAGCTGTTTAGTGTTTTTTCACTACGAAATGCATTTTGGTAACACTGGTCCTACTACCACTACAGCCCTAATAATTCAACAACAACAACATTCAGCAATCATAATCAATGTAAACTCTCGAAATAAATCATAATACTTCATTAAAATCCCTAATAAGTACTTCAATTAATCAAGTTGTTGGCGAAATCGAGTACGAAACCACCATCAAAATATAATTCCTTACTTGCATGAAATAAGAAGAAAGATATTTGAAGAGTTTCTTCAAATTCGTGATGTAGTTGCTGTAAGAAGGAGCAGCGGCGGCCATCGGAAGAAGCAGCAGCGGCCATCGGAGAAGCAGCGGCGGCGGCCATCGGAGAAGCAGCGGCGGCGGCCATCGGGAGAAGCAGCGGCGGCGGCCATCGGAGAAGCAGCGGCGGCGGCCANAAGCAGCGGCGGCGGCCATCGGAGAAGCAGCGGCGGCGGCCATCGGGAGAAGCAGCGGCGGCGGCCATCGGAGAAGCAGCGGCGGCGGCCATCGGAAGTCGCCGTCACCAGACGCCGGTTGAGCGGTGGAAGCGATGGAGGAGAGGAGAGTGAAGGGGAAGAAGGAAGGTATGCGTATGAGGTTTTTGAGGGTAAAGTGGTAAAAAGTTTCTTGTTCTACTTAGTTCCATGGGTAAAGGGTGAACAACCTTGTCCCACCCTTGTTCTAGTTTGTTCTAGTTAGTCCCACATAAAACCACACCAAACATAGGACAGAACTGTGTTCTGTCATGTCCTGTCCCACCCTGTCCAACGTACCAAACGCACCCATAATGAACATATAGAGGTGATAATGGTGGAGGTGATTATCATTGATTTTTTATTTATTTTAAATAAAAAAAATCATTTTTAACGAATACCATAAAACTGATATATTTTAATATAAAAAATAGGATAATATATAATAATTGATATTACATACACCGTCCAAAATAGTAAATAATCATTATGCGTGCATTTTAACCCTTGGATCTTTATCAGTACACCCTTACCAAACATTCGCTGGCCCCAAATTCGAGAAGGAAAGAGATCAGAAACTATATTTGGTTTGATCTTATTAGGGATTGCATTTTCAAACCCGATGATGGATCAACAATCTGAGTTGGCTGCATTCTGAACATTCATAATCGATTTAGTAGAGTGCGTGCCTGGGGAGTTCGCATTGGACGGCGATTTAGGGTTCGTAGAAGGCTGGAGCAACTGTGATAGCCTCTCAAGAAATTTCAGTCTCCAAATTTACCTTTTTTGTCGGCGAAGCAACGATCTATGTTCAAGTAAGATACCGCGTCGAACCTTATCGTAATTTGATGAAACTTTGTGTGTTTTTGTCTAATTTTGAATCATATACTAGAGGAAATTGGGTCATTTATTTGAGACAACAAATGGTTCTCATTTTCTAATTTCTATTAACAAAAGGGAGTGTAAGCATTATTATGGTTGGACCGTTGGAGTACTTGGCCATAGAAGTCGGTATTGCTTGCTTGGCTTTGTGTTGCCACTTTGGAGGAGACGCATATGGTTACTTTTGGCTGATTGTTGAAAGCATTCACTGAAAACAATCAAGATTCAGCTAGAATTAACTTAAAGTGATCGCCTTGTCTTTGGCAATTGCAATTGATTGCATGCTAAATTTTATGACTAGACTTCTATACCTACTTAGCTGTATTGGGCTACAAATAAACTGAAGAAATTATTAAGAGATTAGACACAAAAAGAGAATATTGAGAGGTAAACCCATCTAGGATTTCATAGGTACAAATGCTATCTTCTATGCATTACTATTTAAGTTGACTTCTCATCCACCACTACTCCTTGTCCCAATCTTTGTTGACTTCCACCTCTAGTGGTGACATCCTCTTCATCTCATGGGTTGCAAAAGTTGGAGCCGATTAAAGCATCTCAACAGTGTTGCCTCTGTAGATTTTGGTGAAATGGAATTTTGTTAGAATGTTATCTGGGGTATTATAATGTTCAATTAGGTAGAAGTTGTTGTAATTGGGGTTTTCTTATTGATGATTGAGGATTTAGGATAGTGTAGTAAGATACATATGTTACAGTTAAGATTTACTGCAAGTACCAAGTCTTTCATCGGAGTACCAAGTCTGTTGGCGGTTTATTATTCCCTTTGTCTTACTATGGTTTCTGTCTATTTACGTAAAATGATCAAATTCCAGGGATTAAATGATCAAATAAGTGAGCTTTTAAGAAAATATGTTCCCTTTGTTGAGCAAATCAATATTCAGATGTGAAACGTTTATATAGGTGTAGAGCACCAGAGATCCTAGGTATTTTAAGTATAAAGCATAGAATCCGAATTCCTTTCATCCTTTTAATTCCAATCATTAGCTTGCTCCTGTCTGCTCTTTGGTTATCTATTAATCTACTGGAATTTGTAGTAATTTTTTCTTTCTGTCACACATCAATCTTAGCATGCCGTTGCTAGTTAAGATCTTTTCCAGCAATTACCAAAGGTCTCTTTCAGAAATGTTAACCATTAAGTTCATTTCTTTTTAGATAGTTTCTGTCATAAGCCCAAAAGAACAAGTTAAATGTCGTCCAACATTCCTAGATATCCCTGACCCTTCAATCAAGAAGGCATTTCTTGCAATTTTAACTTTGTAATTTGTGATTTAAACCACCTTTATTCTTTTATATATTTTTTTTCATTATTCGTCTTGTGTTGCTATCTTATTTAACCTTTGGCATTGCATTAATTCCCCTGGATGAAATTTCTAATGATAGGGCATCAGGATGGTCAGGGTGAATTTGTTTTAGTCCATTTTGTTCCATTTTCCATTTCCGTAACCAGCAAATGGGAAAAGAAAGGAATGAAATTGGCTAACTGAATCTACTTCTGATGGATTTACAGATGCCTTTTCTATACTGTTCTATAATGTACTCTTTCTTGTTTCCCCTTTATTGATAGAAATCCGTATGCCAAGTTTAAAGAATGAAATCTAGTCACAGTATAACCACCACTCCATCTTTAGTCTGTACCACTCCCCCCCTTCCTCACCCTATTTGGGTGGATGAACAATGGATGAACCTTACAAATACAACCATACAGGTAACCCAGCTATAAATTGGTATGGGCTGGCTTGGCATTTCCCAGCCATAACCACCTTTCTCCTCCTAACTCTTTTTTAAAAATCACTGTTCACTTTGAATTATTGCTTTCATCTTCCATTGCAGTTTATTGTTACAAAAATAACCGTGTAATGGGGCTTCATTCAAGTAAGTACTTGATGGTGAAAGAGACACTTATAATGTGGTGAATAGGTGAGCACACGAGTGTTCAAACGTTACAGGGAAAGAAGCTCGACATGTTCCTTGCCTAAGACATCCGGAACTACCATTTTACTTCAAAATTAATGTGAATTAATTGATGACCAAGGAAAATCTGCAACTACATTGAGCTTTATAAGATATGAAACCCATTGCCTTTTAATTTTCCGTATAAAAGTATTGTGTTCGAATTCGATTCTCAACAGGCAAGTATGGGCTTATTTTCTGAAATAAATGAAGTATTAAACATACGACTTAACAACCATTATGGCAGTGTTGAAGCTTTTAAGAGAGGAGTAGAGAACGGGCATCTGGGATGTTTTTCTTGCGAGTTATTACTGGTTCTCCTTGGGGAAAATAAAATAGGTACTCATATTTCAAGTCCAACCATGATTTTCTTAGTCAAGTTTGCAGACTTTTTCTTCTGTCTAATTTTTCAACAACTGTATAAAAATAAATGAAGGCGTATAATAACTCATGAAGGGGCTGTTTGATTGGTTTTCCATCAAGTCCTGTATAGATATAGTTGGCAGTGTGGATTAATCTGTCTGTATAGATTGAGAAGGGTTTTGTTTTGAGTTTTTTCTTTTTCATAGATGGAGAGCGTGTTTTTTAATTGGGAGGAGTAGGTCTTGGAATAACTTGGCTTTCTGCATAAAGCTCCCCCCTATTAGCTTACTGAATAAGCCACTTTCTATATCATTACCAAACAGGCATGTCCCATTAATCTCATTAAGCCGCTACCAAACAGATACTAACTAGAATATTGGAAGTTTCTTTTGAACTTGGTTGTAATTCTTATGCTTGCTCTCTGGAGGACATGAATTGCTACTGGTTGTTGGTATTTCGACATGTTGTCATAAATTTTAACTATCTCTTCCTCTCCTGAACCAGTGACGATGAAGTGCGATCTGCCCTCACCAAGATGTATGAATATTCTTCCCCAGTAGATGGCTTTGTAGAGATCTCAGAAGGGTTGGGAGAGATGATAAAATCGTTGGCAAATGAACCCTCGGTGGGTCTTTTCTACGTTCAACAACACACTCACAAGGCAGTACCAAACCTCGTTAGTCTCAGAAACAACATTGTGAGTAAATCCCGTGAAATGAGTTTACACACAGAAGATTCAGAGGATTCCATCACAATGGTGAGATCAATGAAGGAATGTGGGTTCCCAATTGTGGATGATATGATTAAAGACATCACAAAATCTATCGCTACCATCTCATCCAAACAACCGAAAAAGGGTTTGATTAGCAGCAAACCAGTTTCAGGATCTCAAACAACAAGAACCAGCTCGTGGGGTCCAACGACTTGGAGGAGTATGAATGATGTCGAAAAGTCTAGTAGTTATTTATCATCTGTTTTCAAGTCAGCGAAGCAAAAGGCAACGAATCTCAAGTGGGCTCAACTTGATGCTTTGGAATCCAAGGAAGAAGCCATAAGACCTCCTTCGGCTGCTATGCAACGAGAGGAGGAAGAATTGCCAATATCGAGCCATATTGCAAGCGGGAATCAAGAAGATGTACGAGTTGATGAGTTGATATCGAATCTGTCACTGGCTGAAAACTTTGATGAGTTCAAAGCTGATAAAGAGGCAAAACTGGAGGAATGGTTAGGAGGTAGCATTATGAACAATAATAGTAAGCATGATGAACTTGGTGCTGAATAAAAATGTCTGTAAATAAAATATGTTGTAATAAAATGTACAACCATGCCTGGATCCTATGCTTTGAAGTCACTTTTTAATAGGATTTAATCTCAATTAAGATTATATATTCAAATGCTGACCTTTTCTTTGTACATTTTGTTACAACATAGCACCAAAAAGAATGGCAAATTGGTGGGGCCATAGACCAAAAATCGCCTCATCTCCAAGCATATGCATTTATACCCTTCTAGCAGAGGCCGGTATATTTGTCGTTTCTCTTCTGACACCGGTAAAATTAAGTTATCTTTGCCCGTTGGTTGGAGTTCAAACACCGGTAAAACGCTATTTTAGTGTACGATTGAGGTTGCTTTGTTTGGTTAATTTTTCATAAATCATGTATGGATAAAGTTGTCTATGTGCATTAATCTGTCTATGTAGATTGTGAAAGTTTTTGTTTGAGAAAGTTTTTTCATAGATGGAAGCGTGTTTTTTAATTGGGGGAGACAAGTCCAGACATAAAACTCACTCTTATAAGTTTACTGAATAAACCACTACAAAATTGTTATATATAGTTATCCAAATAAATTAGAAGTCTCATTAAACTGCTAACAAACATTCATTTTAACCCATTTCATTCAACAAACATCTTCATATGGATTTGTGACTTTTAATATGAAAAGGAAGTTTTCAAAATTAAATGTAATAAATCTTGTTCTAAGAAAAACAAGGTTTTGTTAACAAGATTCAAAATGATAAAACTTATCTAAAAAATGTCTAAATTGTATCATTCTAAGTACTTAATTATTAATCAAAACTCGATATATACTCGTCATTTTAGAGGAGAAGCGAACAATTACCCTTTCACTTAACATGGAAAACATCACAACCGATGAAATCTAGTTGTAAACGGAACATCCCATTACAATTTTACAAACTATACAAACAACCGATACGTATATAAATCTAAAACTCAATGTGTACACATGTATACAATCTTTACGGTAGCAGTCCGAGATAAATTGAAGTAGAACCACTACACACTCTGAAAGCGCCATTTAAATTCCTAACCATGGTATGAGAATGATATCATTCTATGGTAACGGGTATTGAAGTCCACCTCCTTACCTGCTAGGCTAAGAAGAGTTACTGTCTACAAGGATGTCCACCTCCTTATCTGCTAGGCTAAGAAGAGTTACTGTCTGCAATGATGTCCACCTCCTTATCTGCTAGAATAAGAAGAGTTACTGTCTGCATAGATGTCCACCTCCTTATCTGCTAGGCTAAGAAGAGTTATAGTCTGCAAAGATGTCCACCTCCTTATTTGCTAGCCTAAAAAGAATCATCGTCTGCTATTGCATTTTGCCATTTAGTTCAACGTTCGAAGTAGGCACTAAATCCCAACCATGTTGTGCATTTTGGATGTTGGAAGGATTAATTACTCCAGAATCCACATTCAAATTCGGTGCAGACTCGATCATTGATCCAGAGCCGGTATTTACACTTGGAATAGACCCATTGCCACCATTAACAACTGATTTAAGAGACTCGTCGTTACCTACTTCAACTTCCACATCCCGGTTTAACTGAACCACTTTAACCATCCCATCTCTACTAGCCGTTGGGAACGGACTATTGTTCCGCAATATCTTAGCCTTTCTGAAACAAAAAAAAGATATCAAGATCTGCAAAACAATCTCACATAACTCGAGATTTGCAGGTAGATAGAAGCAACTTACCTAACCAACCTTTGCTTCAAGCCTGATTTTGGCTTAGAGGTTCCTTTTTCCAATGAAATCAAGGCAAAACAAAATGTCAGTCCTTAAAAGGCAAAAGCAAAAGAACTAGACGAAGATAATATATTTCATGATGATCCAAATTCCGTACATCAAAAACCAACGTTTGCAAAAGGCTACAAGCTAGTGTAATGTCTAGATGCCGTTATTAGTTCAAAATTATAGGGTTCTTGTAGTATTGGACCTAACCACATAGGGATCATATACATCGAAGTGCGTGCACAGTTTTAAGAATTTTTACAAGTGCATACTGAATTTCAGATAACATCCTAAAATCACAACTAAACTACTGGACACAAGACTGTTAGAAGATCTAATGGTCATAAGGAATTGCACACAATTGAAGCACTTATGTAAACCCATTTGTGTCCTAAAGTGCAACCAAGTGCTGGAACCTTGTTCAATTATATTTATATGCATTTTAAACAATAGAAAAATATACAAGCTCGGAATTTTTTCACTTAAGTCTGAAAACCCACCAGATTTTTGAGTTGGAGTTAATGCAGGCTTGCGTTTGCTTCTCTCAGCCTTGATTAAAGAAATGACATGATCAGCAGCAGGTCCTAAACCTTTTCTTCCAACCAGCTTCACTCCAAGCTTTTCACAAAGGTAATTCAACCTCATCTCATCACCTCCTTTCACCTCTCTTAGCTCAAACACTTGTTCTCTTGATAACAAAGTGTACACATGAAGCTGTTGCTGTTGATTGAAATGGGATTGAAGCTGTTGAAAGATTAGTTTGTTAGAATGCTGTTGATCTGGTCTTGAACCTTCTTGAGCTTTCTTTGCTGGTCCACTAAACACTACTCGTAAAACAGCCATTGATTTATCGTCCATATCTTTCTTGGCGTAAATAGCTGAAAAGCTTCCAAACTCCAAATCAGGATCCCTGAATAAATCAGCAAGAAGGGAGGCGCAAGCATGTACATTTTTGGATGGATTTCTCTCAACTTTGGCCCTGAGAGCTCGATTAGTAGCATAATGAGCAATATTTGCTGCTTCCCTTAAGCCACTAAGAAAAGCTCCATGCATGGTTGCTGGATAACGCCTTGTTGTGGCTTCCCCTGCAAAGAAAAGTCTTCCATCTCCTACGCTTTCGGCTAAGATATCATAATCATCCCCTGATGCCCCCACTGCAACATTGGAGTAAGAGCCGAAACTTAAGGGATCACTTCCCCATCTTGTACAGACAGATTGTAATGGCTCTGGGACATTAATCCCTTGTGGTTCATATATACCTGCATCAATTGGCCAAGTAAAAAAGTTGCTCTTTAATAGGGAGTTTTTCAGCATCCAGTTTTTACAGTTCTCATACTCAGCAAACTTGATAGTAACGTATGTTAGTAAACAAAATCAAGCTAAAGAACTTCTAATATAAAAAAACCTAAAGAATAAAAAAATACCATCAAGGAAGGTCTTAACTAGAACTTTCAGAACATACAACCAGAATCAGCAAAGGAAATGGACAAATGGTACTTGTAAATTACCATCAAAGACTATAAAATTCCACAATTTCTATCAAGAAACTTAAACTACTTACAGTTGACCCTCTTAAAGTCAGAAAGTAAAGTGAAACATGCAGAAGTAGGCAGTCATGCTGTGCTATTATTAGTCATACCTCTTAAAGTGTATAGTACACATATAACTTCACTATGAGAGTATATACCTCGAAGAATTTCAAGAATTCGTGCAACAGCATCAGGGGGTGGCATGTTTTCAAAAGAATGAGCAGCTTCTCCTGCTACCAATGCTATCAGAACTGGACCACCAGCTACAGTTGCATAGCTATAGAACAAAAAGAACTCACCTCGACGGTTAGGGTCATCAGAGAGATGCCCAAACATGTCAAGGTCATTTCCCCAAAATAGGTGAGGAAAAAGCAAAGCAACCTTGTTCAGCAAACCAAATCCTAGCCTCTTAATCCCATCAAGCTTCCTTTGAGGCAACTCTGGAATGAACTTAATAGAACCACTCTTCAAAACCCCAAGAGGCACAGTGCACAAAGCAGTATCACCTTCAAATATCTGGCCTCCACTGGTAACAACCTGCACCCCATCACTACCATAACGGATAGCATGAACAGTTTTCTCGTAAAGAATTGGAACATTCTCTGCTAACGCCTGAACCAATCTCCCATTTCCACCAGGCAGAAAGCAATGATCTCCTCCCATATCATATGGATCATCTTGATCCCAAAATGCCAGTGAAAGCTTGGAGAGCAAACCAGCGTTGGCATATTCCAAATTCGCAAGATGCCAATTAAACAAGCTCATTTCTTCTGGATTTGCAGCCTTTCCATCAACCTGCCAAAAGGTCTCCAAAGCTGCCCCAAGAGAAACATCTTGTGAAACCTCACCCATTAACTGCCTAAGCTTGCTTGCCTTGTCCAGAAGTTGGTTGAAAGCAACCTCAACCTTCGCATCAACCTCCGAGTCAACCGGTTTCCCATCCAATCTATAAAGTGGACACTTGTCTCGGATCTTATGAAGAGGATAAGACAACTGCCTAGCCAAAATTCCAAGTGGGTTCCCATGTGTACCGGTCAAAACACTCCCTCCTAAATCAGCAGCTGCAACCTTATTCCCTCCTTCGATTTTCTTCGTATATACTCGTCCACCTGGGCGTTTCCTACCTTCCAATACGGTAACTTTATACCCAAATGACATCAATTGCCTTGCAGCTGCCAATCCTGCAAGACCTGCCCCAATTACTATTACATTCCCCTTGGTATTAGGTTCAACAAGATGTTTGTCCTTAATCAATGGTGCAACCCCAAAATTGATATATCCATGTGAAACTAAATAGTTATATGCAGAATCTAAAAGCTTACTACAATGTGATGGTACAACATCAAGAAACATCTCTTTTGTCACCCAACTAAACACATTCTCCCTCCATTTAGTAATAATATGGTTTCTAATAAGTATATAGTTAACCTGTTCGATCCCACCCACAACCGAAACAACCCCTGCATCTATTTCTTCCTCCGTAAGTATATCGGCCGGAAATCCGGCAGACAAAGCAATCAAAGCTTCAGATGTTGCTTCTTTATTAATCACTATTATCTCATCAGATACATCCAATAGCGCAGTTTGATTTGATCCAACGTTAGGGTTTCCCTCAAAATGATTATCATTCGAAGAATTTTCTATCAAGTGAGGTGTCGGTTGCTGATTATTAGAAAATTCGGAAGGTAAATTGTATACCTGATTCGACGACGGCGCATCCCGTGGCCGGCCTCGTCTTCGTTTTCGGGGTATACCAAGTGATAGCAAGCTGTTGACATTGACATTGCTAGGGTTTGAGAGTGAAGAATTAGGGTTTGAATTGGTGTCAGAGTGTGGAAGAACGATGGTGAATTGCAAAGGGTTATAAACGTTAGGAAGAATTTGTTGTTGATGGGTTTCATTCGACGGGTTCATGGTTACAACATTCAAGAAAAATCGAAAGAGTTTTATTTGATTACCGAAGCTTGATAGCAGTAGCCATGGATGGCGATGTTGCACAAAATCATTTAAATACTCGATAGTTTTTTGGTAAAATAAATATTTTAATGTTTTTAAATACAATAATTACTTTAAAAAATAATATGGCGATGTTGCACAAACTTCAATGAACCAATAGAAAACTACATACATTTTTGTTGATACATATGATAAATTTATTTAATGAAGATAAAAATATAATTTTTTATTTAATTTTTTTAATGCAAATTAATTTTTGATTATATTTTTTAATTATTTTATATCTTGTCATTGTGAATATCACATGCAAATTAATTGTCGGTTATATTTCTTAATTTTTTTCTAAGTAAATTAATTGTTGGTTACATTTCTTGATTATACTTGAGTAAACATTTGTTCATAAGTGAACCATCTTGTTTCAACATTTAAAAAGGTATTGTGTTAATATGTGAACCTGATAACCATATACATATAACAGAAACTAGGTATGTACAAATTACCAATTGTTGAAAAAAAAATTGAATAGTGTTGGGTCACCTATTGATTTGGTGATGACCCACTGATCTGTTTCTTTACTTTAGCAACACTTAGTAGTTATTGGTTCTTTGTAAGTTGGTGTCTTG